CTGCCCAGAGTGCATCGCTCTGAATACTGCTGCAAGTGTGAACATGATATTGCGCAGGCAGCTGACTGTGTGAACATACAACAGCAGTTTCCCTTCAGGGCTCTCTGAGTGGCGCTGTAACTCTGCCAGTGTAGACATGCCTTAAGTCTTTCTTACTAACTGTAAAGTCACGTGTATGCAAATATTTCTACAAATCTGTTTCGTATTCTGCAAGATTATTGAGCCTGCTGACGTTTCTCACTGAGAAATTAAATCAAGCTATGCAGTAAAATGCTTTTATCACTTCAAGATTAGACTATTGTAATGCATTGAGGGCTTGTCTACACTTAAAACGCTGCATCTACACCGCTATAGTGCTTCATTGAAGACACTATGCTGATGGGAGGGCTTCTTCTGTCACCTCCCGAAAAGGCAGTAGCTAGGTTACCAGAATTCTTCTGTTGATCTAGTGCGGTCTATAATAGGGGTAAGGTCAGTTTAATGGCATCATTCAGGGGTGTGGATTTTTCACATCCCTGTTCTAACAGAATTTCCTCGTGTAGCTCAGGCCTAAGTGGGGCTACATGTTAGATTTGGAAGCTGACAGTGGTGCAAAAGCAGCCATCCACTAGATAAATGGGATATGCTATAAAGAGCACATGACACCTAGAACCTGTGAACTTCTGGATAGATTTCAAGGTGCTATCTTTGATCTATCAAACTCTTAAAGTGCTAGTACTAGCCTACCTAAGACCACCTCTCCTCTTAATATACTGCTAAACTTGCAGTCAGCGGAAGAGCGGATTCTAAATTCCCATTGGTATGAGAAGTGGCTTGTTGCCAGGATCACACTAAGGATATTGGGATGTCAGGAACATCTCCTACTCCTGGTCCAATACAGCTTACATCTGCTGACTTTCAGGACATGGTGAAGGACCCATTTGTTTCAACTGGCTTTTGAGGAGAGTTTGGTCAGCATTTCAGTTCTCCCTAAATACTAGGTGGATTGGTATTTAGACCTGTTCAGATGGAGCAAGCTGATTGACATTTGTGTTTTGTTTTTGTAATCTGAATAATTGGCAAGGTGCACAGATAGTTTATACAAGCGTGTTTTATTGCTCTGAATTGAAAGAAAAACAATAAATGTAACTGAGACACTGCTAGTGCCACATCCTGTTTCCTGATGCTCATTTTGTCCCCAGTACTCTCTGTATGCCAAAAGTTGTGGCATCTCTTGGAAGCAAGCATGTAGCTTCTCTTTACCCAGTTACCACGTCTCTCATACACTCTACCTGGTGTATGCCAGAGAAACAGGATAACGTACTCTTCAATGTCATATGAGTTTTTCTTCAATAAATCAACTACCACAGGTCACTTTTGATTAACTAGAGACATCAGTATGAAATTATTAGATAGATACAGAAAATTAACAATTTGAAAATATTAAGTATTACTCGGGGTCTAAACAATCTGATAAAACTATTATACAGTTTTGTCATATACTGCTTATTACCTACCACAAAGCATGTTTAAGAACCTGTTGTCAAAGACATCATCTGTCTCCCTTTAACCATACCGTATGCATGACCTTTTCTTAGGGAAATGTGACCGCTTACAGAAGCCAGATATAGCCCAATTCTTCTGTAAAGGTTTATCCATACATCAAGGACCAGCTGCTTTCTTCACACTATAGTCTTGCTGACATTTCATTATTATTCATCCTGTGTTGATATAGTCACTTGGCCCTGTCAACACCAACAGGTAAAGGCATTTGCTTGAAAGCCATCATGATCTAGCGGATTAGACATTAATTTGTGGTGTTAAACCTTGTTCTGTGACCTTTTCCATAACCTCTGATAATCAGTTTTCCCATCAGTGAAGTCAGGGTAAATGATCAACCTACTGTATAATTAAATGATGACTGTAAAAGTGCTATTTAAATGTGCAGGAGTAAGCAAAGTTAGTGACAAGGTGGAAATAGATTTTAGTACCTCCTTTCTCCTAGCTCTGTGCATAATTCACTAATCCATATGGCTTTGGGGGACTAACAGCATCACTTCCACCTCCTCAAGAGTGAATTCTTTTAAAAATATGAACAGCTGAGCTATCAGATGCATGCATTGTTTAAAAAAAAAGAAAAAAGTTCAATTTTCCACAGAAAAATTTCCAACTTTTGAAAATAATTGCTTGCTTTACAATCTTGAAAAAAGCCATACTTCAACACATATATGTTGTCTAGATCTCTCTTCATTACAGCCATTATTCCTTTTTGTCAATAACTGAACACAGTAATTAAAAATAATATTTTGGACACTTCATTTTTTTCAGTTAGCAGTGGTCTTGGTTCTCTCATATTCTCTCTTTAGGAGGACATATTACAGATGGTTCTGGTTATAAAGCAGTTGCTGTTCATTATGTGTACAAGAGTCCCCTCAAGATGGAATAGCTAGATGATCTCAGAAGGGTCCTTTCTAATATTCACAAACCTACACTTTTTCCACTAGAAATCTCATGACAAAAGGACAAGAATGCTTTATTCTTTATAAACTTTATTTTAAAAATATTTACATAATGTTTCTATTTAAAGTATTCTTCTGGATTCATCTCCCACAAATCTATCAAGAATATTAGGCAGAAATAATTCAAGAGGAAAGTCCAGAGACGGAGGGAGGGAGGGAGAGAGAGAGAGAGATCAAGTAGACTTTTTTCAGCCCATTCAGTATCTGCAGAAGTTTATTTAAAATTTAAATAAATAAAATAAAAAGTGTTAATTTCAATATTATGCAGTCGATTTAAGCCTAGAACAAAATCTTGAATTAGTAATTTTGTTTTATATTTGTTTTCAAACTCAGAGGGTACAAAGAAATTAGAAGTTTAAGGTTAATTGCTACAGATAGTTTAAAACTAAAAAATTTTAAGGAAACCATTGCTTCAACAACATACTACATATTTATCATTAACTAGAAAGCTAGATAACACCCACAAGATACATAATGGGTTTTTCATTGAAAATAAGAAATTTTCCTGGCTTACAGAAAAGTATCTTATTTCTAGCCATTAGTAGAACCAGCTCATGATTTCTGCTGTGAAAGGAAACAGAGTTTCATCCAGACTTCCATAGTCTTTCAATATTTTTCCATTTTCCACTAGAAGCAGTTCCCCATATAAGGTTAAACAATTTTGCTGGAAAATAGGTTCAATTTTGTTGTTCTTTTAAATTCAAGAAACTTCAGTCTCTAGGGCTGTCAATTTTTCATAATCACTGAAAATTTCATATTTCTTCATTAAATGGACTGAAAGGATCCCCACTGTCCGAACCAGAGTGCCTGCTGTTCTGGAGGGTCCTCTAGGACAGGGGTGGCCAACCTGTGGCTCCGGAGCCACATGTGGCTCTTCAGAAGTTAATATGTGGCTCCTTGTATAGGCACCGACTCTGGGGCTGGAGCTACAGACACCAACTTTCCAATGTGCTGGGGGGTGCTCACTGCTCAACCCCTGGCTCTGCCACAGGCCCTGCCCCCACTCCACCCCTTCCTGCCACCTCCCCTGCCGTGCCCTTGCTCCCCCCCCCCCCAAGCCTCCTGTACGCCACAAAACAGCTAATCGGGAGGTGCAGGGAGGGAGGGGGAGGTGCTGATTGGCAGGGCTGCCGGTGGGTGGGAGGCTCTGGGAGGGGGTGTGTGTGCTGATGGGGGGCTGCTGATGTATTACTGTGGCTCTTTGGAAATGTACATTGGTGAATTCTGGCTCCTTCTCAGGCTCAGGTTGGCCACCCCTGCTCTAGGGTAAGGAGGTAGTTCCATCTTCCTAGGTATTTTTATCAGAGGGGTAGCCGTGTTAGTCTGGATCTGTAAAAAGCGACAAAGAGTCCTGTGGCACCTTATAGATTAACAGACGTATTGCAGCATAAGCTTTCGTGGGTGAATACACACTTTGTATTTTTGTTACTCTCAGCAGCATCAAAATCTGATTTTTCAGGCTCTATGTTCATTCTGTCATTGGCATCACTGCTAAGATTACCAACAAGAGGACACATTAGATATAATATGAATTTTTGTGATAAGGTCACTTGTCCACTAAGAACTGGACCAACACAATTAATTAAAAAGACCATTTAACAGCCATTTGATAGTAATGATTTCACTAGCTAGTCTTAACCAGCAAGCAGGAAATGATCCCAATACTAAACCTCTTAGCCACCTCTATGAAGCCAAATCAAATTGGTTTCACTATTTCAGAATAACCATCACCATCTCAGAAACTAAAATTTCAAGTGGGACATGCTAGTGATTGAATGCAATCAATAACTGTCTTAATACAAAAACAGAATCACTGTACCTAATATAGGCTGATTAAATAGAGATACACTCCACTGTCTGAAAACAACAAAAATGCTTGACATTTTCAGTTGAGCCAGTAAGAGTTATGGCTTACATTCTATAATAAAAAAGAAGAAAACAAATCACTTAAATAAAATTACTGTAATTTCAATTCACGTGTTACTGTCAAAGATATACAAAACCACTATTGTGTCTATAACTATGAAACAAGAACATACTTTAATAAACAATATTAACTAGCAAGGGGTTTAGACTCACCCTTGATTTTCCCAATAATAATGGGAGCTATGCATAAACAATGAAGGGAGAATATACCATATTGTCTTAGGCACCAATGGATATGTAATTACAACTAAACAATGGTTTGAAATATGATCAACTGAAAATGCAAATCATAATTAGTACTGTCTCATTCATTTTATTTGCTTAAAACTTTATTATTTAATAAATCTATATTCATTTGTACTGCACAGCAAATCAAACACCCCTCTGCATCACATCACTGCCTTTCTAAACTCAGACAACATTGACAGGTACCATTCTGTTGATGTTTCATTTGGTTTTGCTAAAAACTGTGTAATGAAAAAAAGATTACGGTTATATGAAACAGAAACAGTAAAGAGTGTGAAAAGTTTTACAAAGTTTTCAAAGCATACATTTCTCTCTCTCAAAAAAAAACAAAAAAAACTATGGACATTTTTTATTCTACACATGTGGAAAACAATCTGAACTTTCTTTTTAGACTCATTTCAAATGCTTTTCATGGAATGGATACTTTCTTGTATTTCAGAATCAAATCCTTCTGTGTCATTTCTAGAATGATCTGCTGTTTGGTGTTTACTTTGATCTCCTCGGACTGCAACATTTGCAATTCCAGTTTCATTTGTTCTGTAGATGTGTTTTTTTGAGGAACAGTTTTGGCTGTCTTCACTAGAAGTGGCACTGAATGTTTTGCTACCCTTACTCTTCAGATTTACATTGGAATCAGAGAATGAACACTGACTAGTAGCTGATTGCTTTGAAGAATGACCTTTTGTCTGTTCACTTAATTTGACGCTCTTCTCAGAGGATGATGGCCTGCTATTTTTGGATGTTTCCTCTTCCTTTCTTTGATTATCTATTTGAGCTTCGGTTTCTCCCAATAAACCTTGCTGCTGTTGAACAGTGACCTGAAATTCTTGTATTTCTCTGGGAATGGCACAGGTATTCACAAGGACCTGAGAATGGATGAGGCCTGGAAGAGAAACTTTGATGTCTTCACCAACATTCTGAAGCAAAAAAGATTCAAAATAAAATCAAAATTTCTTAATGAAGCCAGGAAACCACTAATTTAATTTACTGTACTATTACACAGTCAACTTTGGATGAGGGTACATTTTTAGAACATCCTTTACTTTTTCCAGAAAATTCAATTTAGGAAGGAGGGTGATACTGAGAGTGGTTAGGGAAAACCAGTGTAGAAGAAATAGACATATTACCGGTACAACAGTTTCGCTTGCCCCATTTATTTTGGGCCTTGTCTACAGCTTAAAATTGAACCAGTTGCACTGAACCAGTTAAAGCACATATGAGTTAATAAAGCCAAACTAGTCATGCGGAATTATTTAAGAACCATTACAGGCTTGCCTTGTGTCCACACTAGTGTTGTCCTAAATTACACCTCTACCCCAATATAACGCGGCCCGATATAACATGAATTCGGATATAACACGGTAAAGCAGCGCTCCGGGGGGGGGAGGGGCTGCGCACTCAAAGCAAGTTCGATATAACGCGGTTTCACCTATAACGCGGTAAGATTTTTTGGCTCCTGAGGACAGCGTTATTTCGGGGTAGAGGTGTATTTAAATTGCAATGCCTTCTTAGTACCTATCCCACAATCTGTTCTGTGTTTGTACAGCCACTAGCACAATCATGTCCTGGTCCATGACTGGGGCTCCTCATTGCCATGGTAATACAAATAATAATCTCTAGCTCTCAATAGCAGCTCATGGTGGGAGATTTTCCGCAGCCACTGGTGTACTGTGGACAGCAGTGGAAAGATTAGATGAACCCTTCAGTTAGTCTGCAGTCACATCGGCACTAACACCCTCCAGGGTGAAAATGTTCAGATAAAAACGAACATACATTTAGCCCGGGGGGGGGGGGGGAAGAGAGAGAGGAGGGAAGGAAAAATAATCAGGCCTTCCTATAATGGGTTAAGTTTCAAAAAAAGATTCAAACCAGCTTTAAAATCAGTTGGAGACAGCATAGATGAGGCTCCAGAGGCCAGAACCACAACTAAATCAGTCACAAAAACAATTCTAGCAACAAGATCCTCATCTACAGTAACACTCCAACTAGTTTTAAAGCTCATTCAGCTTAACTAATATTAAAACTGATTTGATTTAGTCAGAGAGTGTAGACCAGTCCTCATAATTCCACAGTGTCCTGCAGTAAACCATTTGGAGTACTTTTAATGTGGATGCGAAGTGTGTTACAAGCATGCTAGAAGAGGGTTACAATGATATTGTAGCAAAGCAAATTTTTCTGGGGTAGACAAGGTTTTGGATACCCACTCATTTTTTAACCTCACAGTTAAGATCCTCTGGAACACTCAAGCTTACAGCCCCCAGATCTGCACAGTTTTAGAATGGATGTTCTTACTGAAGGGCTCCTGACTCTGGATTTAGTCCAACGACTCAAAAGTTTTAAACAGTTTAATATTGTACACAGCAATGAATGATTGTGAAGCTTGGTTGAGGTGGTGGAGTAAAAGGGTGGAATATTTCTCAGGGAATGCCTTGCTGCTAAATGATGAAGTGGCACTCGGCCGAGCCCTCAAGGGTTAATACGCTGTTGTTAATGTAGCCTCACACTCTACAAGGCAGCATGGACTGAGGCAGGAGGGAGGAAATACAATAGATGCAGGGAAGTAGCTGCAAACACTTCCCTGCAAAAACTGAACATGATGATGAGCCCATGCTATCCAGCTGGAGCGCACCACTCCCTCCTCCTGACAGCACATGCGCTGACTTTCCAAAGTGCTCAGGGGGGGCATACAAGAGTGAGTGAGAGAGCGAGAGAGAAAGAGAGACGTGCATTGCCCCTTTAAGTACACTGACCGCACTTCAAGTACATTGCCCTTTTAAGCAGATCAGACAGGAAGCAAAAGCTTCCAGCAAGCTCCCTCCTTTCTGTCCCGGAGCCCTGTCCCCCTCCTCCGCTTTGTGGAGACGGGGTATGGAGCAGGGGGGGTGGAGGGGGTCAGGAGCAGGGGAACATCCTGATATCAGCACCCCTCTCCCACCCTCCCCGAGCAAGCAGGAAGCTCCCGGGAGCAGCTCCAAAGCAGAGGGCAAGTCAGGAGCAGCACCGCGGGGGGAGGGACTGTTGCTAGGCAGCTGCCGAGCCACATACCTTACAGGGAATTTAGGGGAGCTGATGGAGGACTGCCGGCCCCCCCTGGTTCTAATCTCCACAAGGAGGGGCTGCTCTTCCAGAGAATCCTGCAAGCAGTGGACAAAGCAGGCAGCTGCCAAACAACATTATAAGGGAGCATTGCGCAACTTTAAACTAGCCTGTTCCCTAATACATCAGCAACGTAACAATGAAACAACGTTAACCAGGACAATGTTAAGTGAGGAATTACTGTATATTGCCACAATTATTCTTCCGATTTCCCCCACACACACTTACTTTGCTATTCTGTGTTTGTTCTTGTCTTTCTTCTTCATATGATTTCTCCTTTTGTATAATAGCAGGTTTGCTGACAGTAGAATTCATTTGGGGATGGCCCAACAAACCAAAATCAGATTGGTCTATCCCAGCTATTGTAGCAAGTTGCCCAAGTCTGTTAAAAAAATATATGTAAAATGTGATCTTTCCGGAATGAGCAGTAGTTACCTGTACCAGAGGAAGGAAGAGAGCTGTTGCAAAATAAATATTTGTTTACATTTCCCTTTTAATTTTAGGCTTTTCTAAAGCCTGGGGAGTCCAAGGATAATTAAAAATTATGGCTACTATAAGCTACAGGAGTTGCCCTCCTGCTTTTGCACTACAACTAAGACAACTTCAACTGGGAAGCTAAGAAGCAGTAGAGATGGAAGGGGTGCTGGGAAAGGAAGGGTAGATGCTTCTATGTTATGGGTTACTTTTTCTGCCCAGTACTACCAGAGAGGCAGATTGTGATACTTTTATTAACAATGAATATCTTTCCCTATTAATCCCAGATTCCCAGTGAAATCAATGGGGCTATATATGCAGTCAGATAATATTCAATGTGAGCAAGAAAATCACAGTTTGGCCTAGAGAGAAGAAAACCCTACAGTTTTGCCAAGGAGATCAACTGACATGATTACAATAATATTTTGTGGTTCTAGAATACAAAACAGTGATCTGAGAGGAAAAAATTCAAACGACTGACAAAAATCCCTGTTAACATCGACTAAGTATACAAGGAAGACAGGATAAAAATTAATTTAAAAACATGAAAAAACAGTCATTCTTAAAGAACATTTTTTCCAATAATTCACTTGTCTCAGATTAATCCTATTCTTAATGACAGGAACGACACATACATCAAAGGAACATGCAATACAAGCGCACACACACACACAAAAACAATAGTGAGAAAAAAAGTACAATTACTTTAACTTATTCACTATTATCCCTTCCAAAGTACATACCAGCTGATCCACCACTCCTGCGCTGATGGGAAGCAGCAAGTAGTAGGAAATTTCCCTCATCAATGGGGAGTACAAAAATGTCCAACTCAGACTGACTCCATGAAGTATCAGAAACATTTTAATATATTTTATATATTTAAAAATACCAGTATGTTTACTGAAAGAGAGCAAAGGAAGACTAGAGTGCCCTTCATCAAAAAGCTGCTTTTGGCTTGGTCTGATGCATCTGTCTCATAGCACTTAGAAGAGGAATGTGCTGACAACTAAAACAGTTATACTGCAGATCTATTTGAAAGATATGACATACTACACACAGGACAGCATTGTCTTGGTACTGTGTGCTTTTACCCCTGCAGAGGAAATCCTTATTGCATAATTTGTAGCTTGATCATTTACTTTATCCTCTCATAGTCACCATACACATATGAGAGAGAAATTTTATCATAGTGGACTTAAAAGCTTTGTACCCTCTCTCAAAGACCTCTCTTCCTTCAAGGTTGTGTATGGTGCAAGTCAAATTTCACCTCGTTGGTCTCATACAAAGTATGCAACTGTTTTTCCAAGTTGTGATAGAGTGTAGGACAGGAACAGGTCAGAAAATTGACTGATACAAGTGAAAAGCAAAATTTCTATTGAGATCAAATTCTGGAGTTAGCCTGAAAACCATCTTCTCGGGGGGGGGGGGGGGGGGGGGCGGAAAATAAGCTGCATGTATAACTTTTGGATGGATAATGTCCCCAGCTCAACAACTCATAGGCCAGAAGGGACTATCATGATCCTCGTCTAATCTGACCTCCTGCACATTGCAGGCCACTTCTGTAATAGACCCAGAACCTCTGGCTCAGTTACTGAAGACCTCAAATCATAATTTAAAGACTTCAAGTTACAGAGAGTTACAGAGAATCCAGATGTTTTGGTTTGGTGGTTGAACCAAAAAAATCTGGAACAAAAATTTGGTTAATTTCAAACCAAAAAAAAAAAAAAAGATATTTTTTGTTTTTCTTGTCAAACAAAAATTTAATTTCAAATAGACATTTTGTTTAGAAAATATCAATTCAAAATGGTTCATTTGGACATTTCTGAATCTTTAACTTTTTTTGTGCCTGAAACAATTTGGCCAAATTCAATAAAGTTTCGGTGCCCTGAAAAATGCATTCACTGAAAAAAAATGTTGCCTAGCTCTAGATTCAATCTGGAAAGGCCCAGAACAAGGCAAACCTCTCTTTTTCACCTCACTCCCCCCCTCCCCCCCCCACAAAGTGTAGGGGGCAGGGGAAATTGCCTCTTTTGCTGGATTTGGAACAATAGTTCCTAGCCAATGAGACTTGTCACTGTCTGGTCAAGCTTGTTGTTTGAGTTCTGAGGAAGGAAAGAAGACAGGAAAATCCAGAGGAGCAGTGTCTAGGGGCTCTATGGACAGTCCCTTCCTAATTGGAGAGTTCATATGTCTGAAGTGTTATCTGCACAGGAGGAAAAAAGTTCTTCAATCTTTCTCCAAGAGCAATGTGTTCATGAGGTAATAGAATTATTTTCTGGAGTAGAAGCCATTTGGAAAGCCACCTCTATCACTGCTGAATCAGGGATTGGGTGATGGACAGAGCTGTGTGAGTGAAACTTACAAAAGCCATATTTGTAAAAAGCAACAGAGGGTCCTGTGGCACCTTTGAGACTAACAGAAGTATTGGGAGCATAAGCTTTCGTGGGTAAGAACCTCACTTC